TAGGTCCCAGGGAAGTAACTGAGGCAGCTGTTACCATAACCCACAGGTGAGAGATGCTAACTACAGCAAAGCTAGTGGGAAGCTCATAATGCTGCCCAGCTGTGTGACCTCCAATGTTAGTGATCTTAAATCAACTAAAAGCAAGTGAAGTTGGATGGCCTATTTAGGTTTTGAGTTTTTTTTTGTAACAGTTTCTCAATTCATGCAAAAATTCTGCATTTGTGATTTTGTTAGGTTCTCATAATGGATCTGTGGAAACATGCCATGTTAAAAAGCTAATAGTTTACTGTATCCAGGAGTGTATTTCACCATTGCAGCCTTCTGTCCCACACTATTCCACCATGGTGGTCCCTTACTGCTTCACTAAATTTCCATGTTAATCTCTTGGGTCAAATCCCACTTGGAAAGTGTAGTGGACTGTGAACATAGAATTGTTATAGTTGGGTATGTGGCCATGTTTCTTGCCAGAACTGCCTGCATAAAGCTTTGCTTAACTACAGTGTCTGGAACACGGTCCTTGGAACTGCCATTGCCTTTCCTAGGAGCTTTGCTTGGTATGATATAAGCAGAAGGCTCCTCTGCCTTTATTTCCTCACGATTGTATTTGATTTCTTCGTTTCCTGAGCCCATGATGTTTTGTAAGCACAGTAGGTCTGTCTCTGTGCAAGGTTTGGTCAGAATATTTACACAAAACCTATTTCTTGTTTGGTTAGCTAGCTTTCTAGGTCCCTTCCAGAAAATGGCACATGGTACATGTCATCCTATAATTTGTCTACCTCAGACTCTGTCTGAGTTGCTATCATAGCTAAGACACAATGCTGATACCCACAACTTAAAGGAGAGGTTTATTTTGGCTCATGCTTACAGTCCATGGTTGGCCAGCTCCAAGGCAGAATACATGGTAGAGGGGAATAATGGAGGAAAAGCTGCTTATGTCATGATGACCAGGAAGCAGGGACAGAAGGGAGGAGCAGAGGACAGATATATATATATTTTACAATCATGCCCCTAGTGACTACCTCTAACCAGGCCCCACTCCCAAAGAACAAATGAGCTATAAGCCCCCATGATTTAATCACTTTCAAAACTCCTTCCTGTAAGGACATGAGACCTTTGGGGGATGCTCCTTATATAAACCATAACTCCTTCAAAGCCTGGGGAAGTCTCAGATTTCTCCCTGTCATCCCAATCTAACCCTGCAGTCCCTTAATGAAATCAGGCTTTCTAGGAAGCTACTTAACTTTAAGACATTATTTATGCCCTAAAGACATAAACCATCCTTGAGATGAAGAAATGCAAAAGCCTAGCTATCTGCTTTGAAAAGGGAAATGAAAATTCAAAAGTAAAAATCTCAATAGTTTACTGCTTTAAAAAAACAGCTTTACTGGAGTATAAGTAACACACCATAAACAACACATATTTAAAATGCACAGTTTGATTAGTTTGATATTTATATAAAGTTTAGATATAGATCTTTAGATATAGTTTAAGCCCATGAAATCATTGCCACCAAAAGTTTTACTATGCCCCTTTGGAACTCCTCTGGCCACTCCATGTCCCTCGGAACACCACTGGAATGTTTTCTGTTGCAATAGGTTTGCTAGAATTATATATAAAAGGAGGCTTATAGTATGTGTCCTCTTTGTTTGGCTTCTTTAATTCAGCACAATTATTTCAAAATTTATCCATGTGCCAGTAGTTCATTCCTTTTTGTTGCTGAATAGCAGAGGTAAGACTAGATGGAGGCTAGGGAAATACGGTATAATAGGAAGTCAATTTAAAAGAAAATTGTTATTGTAATAAGAACACTTAACATGAGAACTTTTCTTTTAACAAGATCTTTTAAGTGTAACACACAGTATTATTAACTATAGATGCAGAGTTGTATATTTTACTTACCTTGTCTGACTGAAACGTTTACCTGCTAAATAGCAAATTTCCATTTGCACTCCTCTCAGCCCCTGGTGATTATGTTGCTCTGTTTCTATGAATTTGGCTATTTTAGACAGCTCATGTTTAGTGGAACCATGTGGTAATGGTCTTTCTGTGATTAGCTTATTTCACTTAGCATAGTTCCTCTAGGTTCATCTGTTTTTGTAAATTGTAGGATTTCTTTTTTTAAAGGTTGAATAATATTTCATTTTATGTTTATCCCACATTTTCTTTGCCTATTCTTTTTTCTTCACCTATTCTTCTGTTAATAAACATTTAGCTTGTCTCCATGTCTTGGCCATCCTGAATGATGGTATTATGAGCATGGAAGTACAGATCTTAGTTTTGATTCTTCTGGGTATATAGTACACCCAGAAGTAGAATTGCTGGGCCGTGGGGTAGTTCTATTTATGATTTTAAGGTACCTTCATATTATTTTCTGTGGTGGCTATACCACTGTACATTCCTAGCCATGGTGCACAGGGATTCCAATTTCTCCACCTCCTCAACAGCACTCTTTATCTTTTGTTTTTGTTGATGATAACCATCTTGACAGATGTGAAGTGATATCTCATTGTGGCTTTGACTGCATTTCCCTAAGGATTAGTGATGTGGATCATCTTTCCACATAACTAACTGATCATTTGTATGTCTCTCTCCCCCCTTTTCTTCTACTACTTCTTCTCCTTCCTCCTCTACCTCTTCTTCCTTTTTTCTTCCCCCTTCTCCTCTTCTCCCTCTCACCTTCCTCCTCTTCCTTCTTCTTTTTCTTCTTCTCTTCACCCCTCTCCCCAGTTTACCAGTAAACTCAGTTCCTCTTCCATTTGGGAGGAAGTATAGGGGTTGAAACCAGGTCCTTTGCACTGAGCTACATCCCTGTCCTTTTAAAATTTATTTTGAGGGGCCAGAGATTTAGCTCAGTGGTGCTGTGCCTGCCTGGAAAGTGCAAGCTCCTGAGTTCAATTCCAAGCACTGAAAAAAAAAATTGCTTTGAGACAAGATCTCACTAAATTGCTAATTTGACAGGCTGGGCTGGAACTTGTGACCCTACTGCCTCAGCCCCTCAGAGGGCTGTGATTACAAATGTATGCCACCACACTGCTCTTACATGTCTTTGAAGAAAAAGTCTATTTTGATCTTTGATTTTTAATTTGGGTTATGTCATTTTTGCTATTGAGTTGCATGAGCTCCTTATGTATTTTAGATATTGACTCCTATCAAATGTGTAGCTTGCAAATATTTTCTCCCATTCCAAAGGTTTTTACTTTGTTGATTGTTTTCTTTGCTGTGTAGAAGTTGTTTAGTTTAATGGGTTCTGTTCATTTTTGCTTTTATGGCTTGTGTTTTTGGTGTAATATCCAGTGCCATTATCTTTTCTTCCAGAAGTTTTAGAATTTCAGATCCTTCATTTAAATGTTTGATCTATTTTGAGTTGACTTTTGTGTATAATGTAAGGGTCTAATTTCATTCTTTGCATGTGGATATCCAGTTTTTCCCAGAAGTTTGTTGACAAAACTATTGTTTCCCTACTGCAATTTTTGCCTCCTTGTTGAAGACAATTAGTTGATGCTATATGTATGACTTTATTTCTAACTTCTCTATTTTGTTTCATTAGTCTGTATGTCTATTTGTATTGAAGTATTATACTGTTTTAAGTACTTTAGTTTTACAGTGTATTTTGAATTTGGAGTGTCATACCCCAACTTTTTTCTCCTTTTGCAAAATTGTTTTGTCTATTCAGAGCCTTTTGGAGTTACCTGTGAATCCTAGAACTTTAAAAATTTTTTTTCTATGAAAATGCTATCAAGTTTTTGAGATGCCATCAGTTCTTTTTTTTTTTCAGCTTTAATTGAGTTTATTGGTACATTTTAGGGATACAGTACAGTTACATTCATTGTTGGGCTCTTGTACCTCTACATGACAAGTCTTGATTCTCATTTTTTTCCCCTTACCCCTGCCCTCGCTTCATCCCCTCCTCCCCTCCCCATCTACAAACACTTTATTTCCATCTTTTTCATTATCTCACATTTTTGAGATGCCATCAGTTCTGAATCAGTTTAAATTGTTTAGCTTTTTGTTTTTTTCTTTCTCAAGATGAGTTCTATTTTTCTGCTGCTTTGCCTGCCTTGAATTTTTTTTATTCAGTGGAGTATACTCTTTAAAAAAGTTAATCTGAAATTCAAATTTAATTAGGATTCCTGTATCTTACCTGTTGGCCCTATATCTTGAGAACTCCATTTTTCTGGAGCTCTCTGGATTTGTATTTTTGTCTCTTCAATTTAGAGAATTCCCAGAGCTCTGCTGAATTCTCACTCATTGTACTGTAACTGGACCCTCAGAGCAATAAGCTGCCTCAATTGTAGGACATATCTCTGTGTCCTATCTCTCAGAAATTGCTGCCCTTTTTTCTCTAATGTTCATTTTCTGAAGGCATGTGTCTCACATATTTTGTCTTTTTTTGGGTTGTTTAATACAGGAGGGTAATCTGTTTCTGTCACTCTATCTTAGTTGAAAGTAGAAGCCCATCCCTAGAGGTTATTATTTTTGACCAAGAGCCAGACATAGTGCTGCTGGGGCCAAAAATGTAGGTTCAATACTTTCATGGAAGAGTTTGTTGGCTTACCTCATAGTTTCATGTAATCAGCTACCTAAAAAGAAAAGAATGCTATGGGTCACAGAAGTACCTGATGATTATGACTCACTAGTGTTATGAAATTGGTTAGAAATACATGTGTGCTAATAAGGGAAAAAGGATGGGCCATTGGGGTTATTACCAAATAAAATAATAAATCAGCACATTATACCATATTACATAACTTGTTAGAGTTTAGACCAAAAGATAAGTTTGTCTGAGGGTCAAACCTTGGAAGCCCTAACTGATTTAGGAGTCAGGGCCAGGAAGAAAAGTCTGGTAAAATCAGGGTGGTCAAACTATGGTCCTGGAGGGACTTAGGAAAATTTCAGATCTCTTACTTTCTGTTAAATAATCAGTTATAGCCTCCCTGGGAGATTTGAAAATAAAAATAAAAGCATGTCCTCTCTTTCATCTTTGGTTTCTTTTGGTCCAGCTATTTGCCGCTATCCTCTGGGCATGTCAGGTGGCCAAATTCCAGATGAGGATATCACAGCTTCCAGTCAGTGGTCAGAGTCTACAGCTGCCAAATACGGAAGGTGAGAATGGCTACACCAGGAAAGCCTGGATTCTGGGTGGTTCTGATTTTCAGGACACAGATGCCTGACTCAGCTGGCTGATGAAGAGGGGTGCTACTGGTCTGAGCTGGTGGAATGAAGGAAAGATGTTAAGTGGCCTTGCACTACTCTTCATGCTTTCAGGGAGTGACTCAGGGATTGGCTGCATGTGCTGCTCTGGCAACCTCGTCCCAACCACAGATGCCTTAGAGCCACAGGCCCACAGTGAATGGATTCATTGATTTACAGTGAATTCTCATTACCTGACCTTCTCATTGTGAGCTGCTGTAGTAAGGAGACCAAAGCAGCAGATATGGGGAGGTCCAGATGATGTGGGATACTGGGAGCTAGGAGACCTGCTCCTCCTCTGGGAGAGTATCTGTGTAGACATCACTCACTGTCCAGAGCTTAACCAGACATTGAGGCCCTCAACAAATTCTCCTCCTTTAAGCTGTACCCGTAAACAGAGCTTCATAGGTTCCTCCTGGTAATATTTCAGAGGTCCCTAAATCCACAAAGTCCCAACTCAAAAACTACTCTTGCAACTTATTCTTCCTTGTGGGGTCTAATTCTTTCAGTGTAAGGTACTGGTTTTGTTAAAATGAAATCACGCATGAGGAAAGTGACTCTGGTAAACTTTCTTCAATATTTACCTTAGTGTGTGAAAGACTAGCATGATGGTTTGTGAGTTTGGAAAGGAGCAACAAATGAATGGGTAACATCTGTGAGAAAAGAGATCATTCCAGGGAAGAGGGAAAGTGGTAAGAGATTTCCAAACTAAACCTTATACTGATTTCACAATTTTGCTCAGTAGTAACTCAGCCTGAAGGTAACAAAATGAAACCAGATTATTTACCATTCCCCTGACATGCTCTTAGCCCTTACCCTCACAGTGGGTTGCTATAGTGTTTGTTGGGTGGCTGTGCCCATCCTGCTGGTTAAAATACTACTGCACTGTATAGCCACAATGAAGATCCTACTGCTTCTCCCTCTTCACTGTCATAACTTGATATCCAAGTCAGAAGTGGCTAGCTATGTTAGGCTCACTCTGAAAACTGGGAAGGGGGATGATGAAATGCCTCTGTTGGGGGATAGGGTATAGAAAGAGCTTCATGCCCTTTGAAGTCTCTAAATCAACTTGAAAGATAAAGGCTGCATGTTTTCTGAAGGCTTCCAGCTCCCTGGTAGTGATTTTCTGTGGGTTTTGTGGTGCTTCAGAGAAAAGAAACTGACCACAAATGGGAGTGGTGGGGGCAATCAGACTATGGCAGAGAACCCCAAACTCTGTCTGATCAGGATTTCAATCCAGCTCTCTTCCTTCAGTACAGAATAGTGACTTTCTGTGACCTGGTGTACAGCTCTATGGTCTTATAGTTTTCTCTCTCCCCAACTCTTACCCTTCAAGGCTGGACTCAGAAGAAGGGGATGGAGCCTGGTGTCCTGAGATTCCAGTGGAACCCGATGACCTGAAAGAATTTCTGCAGATTGACTTGCATACTCTACACTTTATCACTCTTGTGGGGACCCAGGGGCGCCATGCAGGGGGTCATGGCATTGAGTTTGCACCTATGTACAAGATCAATTACAGTCGGGATGGCACTCGCTGGATTTCTTGGAGGAACCGGCATGGAAAACAGGTAGGAAGAAGAAACATCCACTCTGTAGGGGACCAAGACCAGATTTTGACTTAGGCCAAAAAAGGAAGACCACAAGTTGTGTCTATATTCCTGGCATGCCTTTATCATCATGACCTAGGGTATGAGAGGTAGCCCAGAGAAGAACATCAGGACAGCTAGGAAAGCTGAGTGGATGCAGTCTACTCCTCGAATTTAAAAGACAGGGGATATTAAAAGGGTGATGAGGTGAAGAAGAGTGAGCATGATTTTATACCCTCTCTTTACTCTTTCTCTTCTCTTTCTTCTTAGGTGCTAGATGGAAATAGTAACCCCTATGACATTTTCCTGAAGGACTTGGAGCCTCCCATTGTAGCCAGATTTGTCCGCTTCATTCCAGTCACTGATCACCTTATGAATGTGTGCATGAGGGTGGAGCTTTATGGCTGTGTCTGGCTAGGTAGGTCTCTAGCACAGGGATCTTATAGATCTTATGAAAAACCCCATCCCTGGGAAATAAAGATAATCGAATCATAAATGGATGGGATCAGTTACCCTGGAACTAAATTATTTCCTCTTGGTTAGAGTAGAGAATGGATCACTGTTCATCTACCCAAGGCTTGGTGACCTAAACCTGGAACTATGTATTTAGAGTCCCTCTGCTGACTGCTACTGAAGAATGCTCCTCAGCAGTGCTCCCTGCGTACCTGAATTGAACCCTAGAGGGCACACTGCACAAGTTTGCACCCTGGAAACTCATGTAGCTCCCTGAGGGTTGATGGTCTGAACAGCAACTACATCTCATTCCCGGTGGTACTGACAGCTGTGTTTCCTTTGCAGATGGCTTGGTGTCTTACAATGCTCCAGCTGGGCAGCAATTTGTACTACCTGGAGGCTCCATTATTTATCTGAATGACTCTGTCTATGATGGAGCTGTTGGGTACAGGTAAATTCTGGGAAACTTTGCTCGTCAGAATGGAAATGTGACCACCAGGAAAAATTAGTATTTTATATAGCTTGATTAATTATCAATCAACCAATCAGTATTTCATTTCTGTACTAATTATTGTGTGATAATTTAGGTAAAGCAAACCATGTGGTCTTTATTTCCAGCTTTAAAAAAGCTGGCTTTGGGAAGACAAGGTAAGCACACAGAAAACAACAATAAATTACACAAATAAAAGGCTAAGCTTTGTAGTGTGACCCAGAAGTGTGGTAGCCATAATTTTGACCTGGAAAACAAGACATGTGTTCTGACACAAATATTGGCTTGGTTGTGAAGATAAAGGGCTGGAAGAATTGAAGCAATAACTACAATAAATTAGTCAAGTCAAGAAGTTCAGGAAGAAGGGACTCCATAAACGTAGATTTATATACTATGAAAAGATGGAAACCAGTAAAACTTACAATAGACAAGGAACATTTTTAGAAATGATGAGCATTGAAGCAGGGAGCAGGTAGGTGGAAAGAAGCAGAGGAAACAGGGCTAAGGACAGAAATTTTCTGATTAAGGGAGACACTAGATCCGAGTGCAACAGAAAGTACCAACACATAGCCCTGAAATGGATGACAGGAGAGCCATGCTGGAGGAGTATGAGTAAACACAACAGGAATTTGGAGCTTCTATCTGTGTCACTCCACTCCAAGCTTTACCATTCTTCTAGCCCACATCAACACTTTTCCTTCGTAGCTCAGTCCTGATCTGCAAAACTGAGCCTGGGAGAGAAGTTAGACCACAGTGAAGTCCAGACCAGATGATGAGGTTTCCAGGGCTTGAGAGGTAGAGAAATTAAAAGTCTCAGAAAGGGGAAAATGTAATTACAGCACATCTACTGGTTGCTTTTATTCCCAATCACTTTCTCTTCACCCATCTAGTCATTGTTCTTTCCTATTTTCTTTAATTGTTTTGACATTATTTCACTCAGCCATACCCCCAGCTGGGACATACTCAAGGCAGAGAGGAAATCAGAGGAAATTAATTGAACTCAGAGAGGACATCAGTGGAATCAGTTTAGGTGAATTAGAATTTGCTAATCAACAGTTCCTCTGTCCAAGGAATTGTGCTGGGCATTGTAAGTATTCAAGGGCAACGGAATCATTGATCTTTATGTTAAGGCACTCAAAGTTTGGAATGGGGGTTAAGTGAGGACATAAACTAGTATGATGCAATGCTATGAGTAAGAAATAGTCCATTAATTCATTGAGGATTAGAGGGCAGAATATTTTGTGGTAGGAAGGGACAGCATTGGGAGTGAAAACAGATGGATTCATGTAATAAAACTTCTGCATGCTTTAAGGCTTAGTGATTAAAAATTTGTAGGAAAAGCATTTTGTAAAGGTTAAGTGCTACATGTACGTGTTATTATCTGATTGAAGGACCTATAAAGAAATAATGGGACAGATAATATCTGAAATCTGAAATATGTCCCAAAAGATGGGTAGAACTTCCATGAAGAAAAAGAAACTGTGGTTGTAAAATTTAGAGGGATGATCTGGGGGAAACTGACAGTTTTGTTAGCCATGGGTGATATTTATGTAGCAAGGGGGTAGATGAGAAGTGTAACAATGCAGATTATGCAGTATTTGGGGGAATTCGAATTTCAGAGGCAGGAAGAAAAAATGGAGAAGAAAAAAGAGGGTGGAGGAAGAGAAGGATTTCTTTTTTTCTTGTCAACATCATTAGTATGGATTAGTGAAGATTTTTAAAGCTGAGAAAGGTCATGATTGGAGTTGTGCTTTAGATAGACTAGTCCGCCAGTATGCAAAGATTAGATGAGAGCAGAATGGGAAAGTAATGTGGGCTATTTTCAAACTCTAAATTCTGCTTGGTAAAAAGAATTAATAGTCAAGGTCACAACGAGAGCCATGGGAATGGGACATTTGAAATCTGACTCAATATAAGGACAAGATAGTACAGTGAGAAAAACAGATGAAACATGATAGTCCAAGAAACTGAAACAATGGAACTGACATCTATGCATTCAGAAAATACATTTTAAGTAGTTACTATGTACTAGGTACTCTGAGTTCTGACTATGAAATAGAAATGCAATTGAAAAAATTAGAAACCTGGGTGAGAGTTAGCTTAACAGAGGATGATGATGGATTTATTTGGGGATATAAATTTAGAGGGTAATCAAGACATTCACATGGAGAACAAGGAAAGTAGCTGGAAATACAGCTTTGGACCCTCAAGGATAATAAAACAATTATAGAAATTTAACAACTGAGGTAGTTACATAGCTAGCTGTAGTATAGCTAAATGAGGAGAATAAAGATGGCCAGATGAAGGCTCAGGAAATAGATTAAAAATTACAAAACCAACCTTCTTTGACAGTGCTGGCAATCAAACCCAGGGCCTTGTGCACACTAGGCAAGTGCTACATTGTTACTTGTATCTCTAGTCCTTACTTTTTCTAAGTAAAAAATTACAAAAATAATCTGTAATGATTTTAGTAATTCTAGTACTTCTAAAGTGCATAAACTAACCTTGGAAAGTTTCTTTCTTTATTCTACATTCGATTTAATTTTGTGATGTAGAAATGGGATAATTATTTCTTTTTATAAGACTTTCATGGGATTTATTTTTCTGAGGGCCATGGCAACTATATTTATTACAAATAAGCTTATGTTTACCCAGCCTTCTAATCTGCAGAGAGAAGAAATAAAGGGCAAAACCTCAGAAGGGAGATTCAGGCTCTGGTCACTGGATAAAACAAGTCAAACTTTGTAATTTGCCAAATATTTTAACAAATAAGTTTATTTTAAAAGTTATCATTGAGGCTGACTTAATCTTAATCATTTTCATACTGCCTGTTGTATAAACTTCAAAGATCACTTCCAGGGATTCTTGAGGGTACTAGTTCCATCTCTTCTTTTGGGACACATCTCCCACAAAGTATGGTATAGAGCTGTACAAGAGATGTTTCATGTGGTCGGTTCTTGCTCTGTCCCTCCATGAAAAGAAAGGACACCTTTTCATGTTCTTCACATAGGCAAATTAATACAAATACACTTACATCCCATCCGGGAGTCAGACATACTCAGTTCCTCAAAACAGCCTTGTGTTCAAAACTGGAAAAGGATGCCAAACTAGAAAGTAAATTCACATCAAATATCTCAGGTTCTCATGGAATTTCTGCATTTATCTCCATGGATCTAGTGTTCTACATATTTATTTACAAGTAATTATACTTAAAAGTGTTAAATTCAACAGGGTTCACTTTTTCTCCCACCCTTGGTTAAATTGGGTTGTTGGAAATCACAGGTAGAAGAGGGAATGATTGACTTCTCTGAAACTAATTCACTTTTGCAAAAGGGAAATGGACAAAGAGTTGGAGGGAGTGGGGAGATAGAGGAGAGGAAGGGAATAAAAAAGGAATTAACATGTGTGTTATATACATTATACCAACTCCTCGTGATGAAGATAATCATGTACTGCAAACATGTACTAATAATAATTTTAAAATTTAAGAACAACATTCATTTAAAAAAAGAATAGCCAGATGAGGTAGTGCATGCCTGTAATTCCAGCACTCAGGAGACTGAGGCAGGAGGATTGCTGTGAGTTCGAGACCAGCCTGGGCTACATAGTGAGTTCCAGGTTAGTTTCAACTACATAGTGAGACACTGTCTCAAAAAAAAAAAAAAAAAAAAAAAAAAGAAGAAGAAAATTAATTCACTGAACAGTGGCAACATATAGTCAAAAGAGAATCTGAAAAATTTTCCCATGAGCTCTGGGAATATTTATTTAGTGACGCGGTAAGTGCTGCTATTTGCTATAGGTTTCATTTCATTCGTTTACTTACTAATGAATTAATTCATCAGGTGCATTTGATAACATTGATTCATTATATCAAGATATATTTAGTGCATATGTATTCCCCATATTCCGTGTAAAAGTTTTCACATAAAATTATATTGAGTTTTGCCACTAATGTGGTAAGCATTGAACATTTTATAAAATTAATTTATATAAAATTCTTAATTCTTCCTTGATGCTTGGGAAAAATAAATGGATCACTACTATAAAATAAATTCAATTTCTAATAATTCTTCAACATCCAGAAAAATCAGCTCTTATAATACCTAGAGTGAAGTAGCTGGATCAAAATGCTTCCATGAAGTCATGGCTAACTCTAGATTCCTCTCTCCTTTCCTTCTCCTCTCCTGGCCTGAGCAGCATGACTGAGGGGCTGGGCCAGCTCACAGATGGGGTGTCTGGCCTGGATGATTTCACCCAGACCCATGAATACCACGTGTGGCCAGGCTATGACTATGTGGGCTGGCGAAATGAGAGCGCCACCAATGGCTACATCGAGATCATGTTTGAATTTGACCACATCAGGAATTTCACTACTATGAAGGTCAGTGGTGGGACTTCTTCAAAGAGCTCAAAATCATAACATGAGGGAGAATAACTCTCGTAGAAAGAACTCTGAGTTGAAACCAACAGAACCAGGTTCAAACATGAATTCCACTATTAGCTAGTTATGGGTATTTCAAGGTTACTTCATCTCTAAGGGCTTGTTTCTTCATTTGTAAATTCTATAAGGGAGTGAGGCTAGGTCAGTAATATTCTCCCCACCCCCATCCCTTCAACACTGGAGCCAATGTAGCTACTAGGCATTGCACTTATTCTATCAGCTTACTATTGCATAAGACTTGAAAGAGAATAGGTGAATTTTGTAGGGTAGTTGGATGAAAGCCACAGGCTTGGAGAGGTCTAGAGACTGGCATGTGATGGACCACAGTAAATGCAGATACCTGAGAAGAGCTAGGTGAGGAGGATTCAGGTCTGAATTCCATTTCCTCTGAAGCAGGACCTTAAGGGGAGCCCAAACCTGAGGTTAGAGTAGCGAACATCTCTATTAATAACATGATGTGTTGCTTGGTACTTAGCTCAAATAACTATTTTCCTTTTCTGTCACTAAGCCTCATGTCTATTTCAGAGAGAAAGGGATGGAAGGGGAGAAAAGTTCATGCAAAAAGTAACCAGATTGGATGTTCCACCTGGATTCTTAGCTAGAGAGAAACTAGGACTTAGGAATGTAGAGGAAAGTCCTTCTGTCTCATGTAACAAAGAGGCCACAGGATCTGTTGTAGCTCTTATATAACTCACTGGTTTATGAAGGAGCATGAGGGTGCCTTCAGTATGGCTCAAGAAAAAAGAATGGGCAAATGAATTTGACCACACATGAATCTGTTCATCTACTCTTTCTACCCATTAACAGTTGAGGGTAGAATAATAATGATTAATAAATTGATGACTCTGCCTCTATTTATTCTCGGTCTCCGGGTTCAATATTTGTTTCCTAAATTTACCCATTCTTCTGTCTGTTACTAATTTACCAACTATGTTTGGAGCTTATGTAGCTATGAGTAAAAAATACTATGAATAAAAAGTAAAAAGGTGGAAAAGAAATGATGCCTGCCTTGGGACACACTGCAAATCAGGAAGGTACTATTTATTTATTTGCCAAAGGAGGTATGTAAGATCACATGGGAGCTAGAAGAAGGAAATCTGTATTGTAATGAAGAATTTGTAATAATGCAATTTTTTAACCATCACACAAACTAAAAGCAAATGTGTGTCTTTTATTTCACTACAAGATTTTAAAGTGATATCTCCTAATTGGATTAACGGCTATTAGTTAAATGTTCACACATTTAAGATGAAAACAAAAGGATCAATGTATGCCCAATATGTTAATTTTTCAAGGATGGCTCTTTGGCAGTTGTTAAACATAAGTGTGTACAATTGTGTGTACTGCATTATTCTTCCCAAATTTTGTGGGGAGTAGGGCAAGAAAGAGGGGATATACAAATTATAACAAAACTAATAAAAATATATCTTGAGGGAAAATTTGTGTTTCTAAATATTATCTAACAAATAATGAACTATTCCAACAAATAATGAACTGTATTTTAAACTTTTGCTAAATTTGTACTATTCAGTTAAGAGACTTTGATCTTCCTGTATATCTCTGATTCTGTTTAATGAGTTTGTCACAGGTCAAAATTATTTAAGAATCTAAGTTTTAATGTGAAGGTACTGGGATCTCCTCAGTAGCAAACTCAGGGCTGTCTTCTCAGGCCAACAGATTTCCATGATATTTTAATTTTTCTGAGATGAAAAGTAAAAAGAATTTCAGGCAATTGATGTCTTCTAGAGAGTAGCATCTGCCTCCTAAGCAAATTTCTATTCATTTCCCCTCTGAGGCATGGTGAAAAGATACTATTAAAATAATAAATGCATTCTTTAAATGTATTGTTTTATTTAAATAACTATATAAGATTGTATGGAAATGAAATCCTATGCTATTTTTTCACATTCCAGGAGAATTTCGAAGACATCTGTAGGAGAGATTATTACCTTCCTCATGAGATATTTAGCCAACACTTTGCACATTTCAAACCATCTGAAAAATCTGTTGCAGCTGTAGATAACTATTCCTTTTCTTCCTTAGCCCTACTCCATTGACTTGTGTTAAATGAACTGGAACAGTTAATTCATTCCAAGGAAGATATTAACACGTGTTTTCATCAGTAAAACGTTTGAAGAAAAATACAAATTTAAAAGTGATTTTCTTCATTTCTATGTGGCATAATCTGAGAAAGAGCATTGAGCTAGGAGTCCAGGGCTATAGAACCAGTTCTGTTGTTGATGGACTTTCAGGGAGCCACCTTCTCAGGGCACCAGTACCTCATTAGTGAACAACATGTGATGTTACATTATGTTTACAATAGCTCTGATGCTCTATCCTTAGTGTATCTCTTATCCAGTCTTTAGTCAATAAATTTCTGTCATCATTGCTACTCCTTCTTCATCTAAGAATAAAATATATATTATCATCCTGTGTTGACTATCCAGCAACCAGAAGAGGGAATCAGGATGAGACAGTTAAAGCCCTATGACTCCAACACAGGCAAGGCATTAAAACAGAAACAGAAAGTATATCTCTAGAGTGACAACTATGTCTTTCCAATCCCTGAAGTCCTTAAATTCAAGGAACAGTGTGGCTACTAAAGATCCATTTTCAACATGAGATTGAATCAGGGTAGTTACGGAACTACCAGAAGAGCCTTGATTCAGTTACAAATATATACACATCATTTGCTAAACACAGCAAGGTGCTACAGATGGATTGTTGTGGAATCTTTGCCTCTGATGTCTTTCAATGCTATTCAAATATCCTAGTGAAATAGTCCTGGCAGAGAATGTCAGTAAACTGCCTACAGACTTTCTTTTTTCTTTGCAGACATTATCTATGAGAAAGAGTCTATTATTATATTTTTCCAGATTTCTCACCTCGTTCCCTTGAAAAGGAGTGGTCTGGCTTTGGAAAGTACCTAGCCAGGAATAAGATGGCAGTCTTTTTCATATCCTCAAATATGTCTCAGAATAAATGGCTGAAATATGCCTAGATAGCAATGTGGTTGAGAGAAATGTGTAGTCAAGAGAGTTCAGGGCAAGGAAGGACCTGAGAGAATGCTGGTTCATCTCTCATTTAGCAGATGAGGATACTGCAACTCAGCATAGTGAAGGGAAGTTGCCTAAGCACAGTTGCAGAGGCAGCTGGGCTTGCTGCTGAGAGTTTTTATAAGTCCTGATCAAAAGTCCCTGGCAACAAAGATCCAGAAGACTGCAGAGCACCAGGGGTAGTGCTCAGAGAAATGGGAAGGACTAGGCTTCTACTGGGTTAGCTTGCACTAACCCATGTTCCCATGTAACTTAGCAGGGCCAATCTGTCATTCACATACCTCTTTCTCTACCAGGTCCACTGTAACAACATGTTTGCTAAAGGTGTGAAGATCTTTAAGGAAGTGCAATGCTACTTCCGCTCGGAAGCCAATGAATGGGAACCCAATGCTGTCTCCTTTCCCCTTGTCCTGGATGATGTCAACCCCAGTGCTCGCTTCGTCACAGTGCCTCTCCACCACCGCATGGCCAGTGCCATTAAATGCCAATACCATTTTGCTGACACCTGGATGATGTTCAGTGAGATCACCTTCCAATCAGGTAGGAAGCATGGGATCCCATGGGGCTGTGGGAATAATTGAGGGAGGAAGAAGATGAACATCCAACTTCCCACAGAGAAGCAGGGTTGTATGGGTAGTGGTTTCATTGGTGGGTGGCAGGAATTCTTGTGCTTCTAATATTAGTCATGGAAGCATTTAATTATAAACCAGAAAGGAACAAAATATTTACTTGACTCTTTGTCATGTATTTGTCTAGAAGAGAGGTATGGTAAAATATTTTTAAATGATAGCACGATATTTTAAAAATGGTATACATTAAGGCTATTAACGAACGTGATTAAGATGTTCAAATGAAAATTTCTAAATATTGTACACAAAAGTAAAGAGAGCAATGTATCCCTATATCAATCACTCAGGTTTACTGTTGATTTTTTGCTACACTTGTACAACCTATTTTACTCTTGTTTACTGAAGTATACTAAAGAGAATCTGAAATATTATTTGATTTGATTACTAAATATTTTGGAATGTCCCTAAGAAAATAACATTAGCTTTCTAGGTGTAGTATAATTATAATAGCCTATAACATTTATCTATACATAATTCCTAAGTATCTCTTATATCGTATCCATATTAAGTATCTCTTATTGTCTAATAATGCCTTGCTGTAGTTGTCTTCATTGTAGCACAATTCAAATAAAGGCCTTTGGTGGATTTTGTTAATTATACTTACTAGATGTCTCTTTTAATCAAAATCATTTCACTGCTTTTAAAAGAAATTTATTCTGGCACTGCCAGTTTGCTTTCTGTGGTGTTATTTTACTCATTTTTACCCTGTGCCATTCCTGTAAACCAAAAGTTATATCAGTTGGCTAATTTGATTCAAGTTCAATATTTATTTTGTCAAGAAGCCTTGTGTATTTTATGTTAAACCTCATCATGGGAATGTAATGTTGGACTCCCTCACTTTTAGTGGTAGTGAGTGATTTCTGATTGTGGGTGGTTATCTCTCCATGGGAAAGTTTCCTGTGAATTTAGCTGTAGGTTTTACTCTGCATTTATGGGCTGCACCTGAATAATTTATTTCACTAAATGGGCTTGAGAGTGATTTTTAAATTGTTTTATTTTTCTACACTTATCTGTAGGATTTATGCTAAAGTTCCTCATGTATTTGTTCACCTTTGAAATATGATTCACACTGGAAAGGCAGGATAGATATTTTTCTCCTTAAATTGTCTATGTCCAGAGTAATTAATTGATGTCTTAGCAACTTCCATGATGTCTAATGTTCAGTTCTCATGCCGTTTTATCTTTTTAGATCAGCACGTATTCATTGTTTTGTATAAATTCAATGTTTAGTCCATTGCAATTATTAGTCTTTTTCATGCTCAAGTTATTCTATCTTTATTGATCCAACTCTGTATTTTTGGATCTAACTTCAAATAAGCCTCTGATAAACTTCTTATTTTCTGAAAGAGCAAGATGTATCATGCTCATCTGGAGCATTTATTCACTGCCCTAGATGTGAAAGGAGCCATTTTCTGAAGAAATCTCAATTCTTTAGAGAGGGATGTTATCTTGAGACCACAGATTGGGCAATAATAATGCTAACTGTTCTTGGGTTGTTATTCCTTCTTGGACTTTTTTAAATGGGAAAAGTGAGGAAAAAATATATATTTAAAAAGAAAAATATCAGGATTTCATATTATTACTTCTAATTCAAATTAAAGATGAGGTTTTTACCTAATTGGATTACATAATTGGATCTCTTTATTCTTTCTAAATGTAATATTCCCTAACAATATTGGCAGAATTTGCTTTAGCTACTATTCAAAAAACCAATATCAATAGTTTTACTAATTCAGAAATATTGTATAGGCTTTATGATTTCTTTATACTTCTCTTTTCTTTGTCTCTAGAATGTATCATGTGAAGACATGCAATACAAATGCCATGCTCTGATATCAGTTAGGATAAGAGTCAGACAATGATCTTCTCTGTGTAGTTATATTGTTAACATGATACACAGTTAGGTTCATTTTCTTCAGTTTGTTTCAACTCTTAGGGATTTGTTAAATATTAAGACTATTCCTGACATGCTACTCTCTTTCTCTCCCTCCCCCGACCCCCCCATCAGGGTTTTCACATTGAGTTACATCCCCAGTCCTTTTTCAATTTTTATTTTGATAAAGATATCATTAAATTGCCCAGGGTGAGCTCAAATTTACAATCACCCTACCTCAACCTCCTAGGATGCTGGGATTACAGGTGTATACCACCACACCTAGCTTTGTTGTACCACTATTGAGCAAGATTGAACTTACTGGAGCCAGGCACTGTGCCAAGTCTTAAAAAATTACAAGAAATTTTAAGACATAGTTCACACCATTATATTTTAGATGGGAAGAGAAATTCTATACAATGATTTTTCCAAACATATCTAAAGTAGTACCAACCATAAGTGGTCAGGAGAGGGGCACTAGAGAGTGGGTTTGTTATGAAAAACATCAAAGGAGTAAGATTTTACCAGGCCTGAAAGAAAGCACAGACATAAGATAATAGAGGAGAGACTAATCTAGCAACAGTGTTGGGTAAGTTGGAAACTTATCCTTTCTGATTTGATTTTTAAAAGGGGAAAATTTCAAAATGTACTGATAGGAACTAGAGCACATATTTAGAAAAACAGATTTGGTGCCAAATGCGTTCTATACCAATAATTTAATCTTAGAATAAATGGACTGATTATTTTATATGAAATATCTATTGAGAGAGAAAACCAATTTTCAAAAGTAGGGCCATTTGTACTGTGTCAACTAGGGGAAAAATAGATTCCCATTGCTTTTAGGGATTCTCTTGGCCAGTAATTGGTACATTTACTTATTTTGGCTTGATGTAGCGATGGAATATGGCTTTTGACTCTTGGGATTTCATAAACTTTAAATCCTATACCATGATAGTATTTGTTTTTGTTGGAGCCTGAGAACTGAAATCAGAAAGTACATATTGATGCCAGATACCTTCCTATTTGTATAGTAACATTAAGAAGAAGAAAAATTAGAATTTTGGGAAGGAGTGTCTCTTATGAGGAAAATGCATATTCAAAATCTTGACCCCCTTGATTTCACAAATCAGAGAGGAAAACTAGTTGCCAAACTGGTGAATACACTAGGGTCCTGACTCAGAGGCCACAGCCTCATAGTAAAGGATAATATTGGACCGTATCAGCACGTCAATGTCAATAATTTATGTTTAAGAATAAATGAAGCCTTCCTTTTTAAGTTAAGGAGCCTGGGCAATGGGGCATAATGGAAACACTTTTATAAAACAATTTAATTTTCTTAAAGCAAAGAGCATCTTAGCATTGTGTCTATCCATTGCTCACTAAGTCACTGTATTCTCTATGCTCTGCTGGATTTATGCCCTGCCTCATCTGCATACTTTTTCATACTATGTGGTCGCACTCCTCTGAACCACCATTTCTTAAGTTTTGCACTGCAATGTCTAGTTTATAAATTTTGAGAAGAAAAGTTTTGCAAGAGAAAAGTTGCCTTACTATGTAAATGGCTATATTTTTATTTATTATGTTTTCTTTTTATATCATGTTGATGTAATTGTGTGTTGTTTCCATGCATTTATACATTGTATAATAACTAAGCTAGTTTTTTTTTTTTTTTTGGTTCCAGGGATAGAACTTGGGACCTTGTGCTTGGAAGGCAGGCAATCATACCACTGAGCTAAATCCCCGGCCTTATTTTTTATTTATTTTTAGAAAAGACTGTTGGCAGTCCACTCAATTAATTCACAATGTTGTAGATTTCAACCTGCCCTTTGATAAACAACTACTTTGCTGTATTCTCCCCCAGCTCTGACTTACTCTTGTGTCATAACAGATGCTGCAATGTACAACAACTCTGGAGCCCTGCCCACCTTGCCTATGGCACCTACAACCTATGGTATGTTCTGTTCCTAATTACAAAATTTAAATTGAAGGCACCTCCTGGAGGATGAATTGTAGTAATTTGCAAAGGCTTGTCTGTGTGGGAGGCTTGATTGCAGATGCTTATGTAGAAAAGTAGGATAGTCCACCTCTGAAGTTAAGGGCGCAAATTTTCTCTCTTCATTGCTTATTCCTATGATTTTCAGCTGGGGAAGCAGAAGCTAGAATGTTCCAATTATTTAGCATGAAAGTCTAAGAAATTTGGGGTGGAAAAAGGGAAAAGGATATACTTGAGACACATAGTAGAGATTTCAATGAATGGGAGGAAGTCTATGGAAAAAAAAAGAGAAAAGGAAAGAAGGTGGTATCTGCAGTTGGAGATAAGTATGTCAATATGTATTTTTTTGCTTCAGGAAATCACCTAGCCAGCAATGTGGGAACTTGTGACTGCTTGTCTCTAAAGAGGACACTCAGGTATCAGCTAACTTGGCCTATCTCAGAGAATGAGGATAGTGAAACTAGTTCCTCACCTGTTTGGCATGGGTGTGATTAGGAGCCTGTAGATCTTGGCCATGGTAACATAGGGACAAAATTTTGGGAAAATGGAAAAACTTCCTTAACCAGTCTGAGACATGGGGAGAGGGAGACTACTGTCTCACGGAAGAGGACTGTAGGGTACAGAAGCAAAGTAATAAGAGTAGCAAGGTCAAGAATAAGTAGAAATATTATGATATCTTCAGGAATTATCCTGAAGGAACAGGATAACCATGCCCTCAGTCCAGTCCCTCATGCCTTTACATTCTCTGCCTTCTCTTCCTGTTCTCAGATCCAATGCTTAAAGTTGATGACAGCAACACTCGGATCCTGATTGGTTGCTTGGTGGCCATCATCTTCATCCTCCTGGCCATCATTGTCATCATCTTGTGGAGACAATTCTGGCAGAAAATGCTGGAGAAGGTGAGGAGGTACAGAATGGGCAAGGACAGGAAGCTGCACCTCCTTTTCCTAAGCTGCTATTGCCTTACAAGTAAAAGGCAGATTATGAGAATGTATTTGCTAAAGACTTATAAGAGGCTACTAAGAAGCATAGGAATGAAGCCAGAAAAAAATTGTTAAGTCAATTTTCTCAGTTTTAGAATCAAGATTTTAGAATCTCTTTAGAAATCTCAGATGCCCTTTAATACATCGACTATCAACTTGGAATTACCCATGAAGATTCTGGTTTTAAGATAGAGTGCATGAAGATTGCTAAGTTTTAAGGTAGAGTGCAGGTATCTGTTCATTTTCATTTAATGTGTGTTTCTGATGCACATTCAAGGTTGATAATCTGTCTAATGCCAGTTAAAGTACTTGATAATACTATTGAAGTTCTTTATATTTTTTCTATTTTTCTCTTGTTTTTTAGAAGGTAGGAAGGGGAGGAGGTTGGGAGGGAGAGGGAGAGAAAGAAGAGAGGAGAGGAAAGAGGAGAGAGAAGAGAGAAGAGAAAGAGAAATATATTGAACCTCATTAATATCCAAGTCAAGTTCCTCACAACTCTGTCCTCATTTCTTTGTGTATTTGAAGTTTGTAATTATATGTTCCACTGAGTTCTTTTTCTTTCTGTCTATGTCCTATAATCTGAATAATTGTATTATACTTTCCTAATATTTCATGGTCTTCCAAGACTTTTTTCCTTATGTATTATTTTATATGAACCTCTGAGTAACAGCGAGATGGACATAGTTGTATTAAATTATTTTTTGATGAGAAATTGTGATGTGCTCAAGGTCATACAGCTAGTATTCTGTGTTCTGTGCACTTTCCATTTGTAAATACAGGAATATGTTAAATTCTTTCTCCCAAAATTTATACATTTTACTGAGAGTGGAATATATATGACTTTTTCTTGGCTTCTTAGACCAGATAGCAACTTCGTGGGCACTGCTGAAAAATGTTGGATTCTCTTAGGATCCACTGCTGATGATGTTTCCACCTTAGGCCATACACACTTTACCTATGCCATGTGTTCCTCTCAATGGACATGGGCTGAGGGAAGTTTTGGACACTCTGGGCTGTGAGTTTTTTTTTTTTCAGCTTTAATTGAGTTTATTGGTACATTTTAGGGATACAGTACAGTTACATTCATTGTTGGGATCTTGTACCTCTACATGACAAGTCTTGGTTCTCATTTTTTCCCCTTACCCCTGCCCTCCCTTCACCCCCTCCTCCCCTCCCCACCTACAAACACTTTATTTCCATCTTTTCATTATCTCACATTTTTTTCTTTTCCCTTATTATTCTTCCCCTACCCATCCCACCTTCCCTACACCTTTATGTGAGATTTTGAACTGCCTATAGAGGGCAAAAGAAAAGAAAAGGGGCATTGCCTGGTTGATCTGTGTTCATGGATCTCTCAGAGGAGACCAAAGCATGTGGAGAATAGTCCAGAGGAGGGGCCAGCGGACCATGTGAATGCTCTTGAATCTGCAGAACTCCCTGAATGTAGACAGGAGAAAAGGGGCTCTCATCCAACAAGTGAGAGGACTACCCAGTTACCCTGCAATTCCTTCTGACCTGTTCTACATTCAAGTTCCCTGAGATGGTTGAGGTTTAAAGTGTTTACATAAGAATGTTCACAGCAAAGAACATCTCCTTGCTTTCCACAAGGACCTCTACTCTCAGTCTGAAGACATTTTACCTAAATTAAAGCTCTAAGTCCATAAATAACACATGAAGATTGAAAGGCAGAATTCACAGAGAGCTGGCCCACTGGCATGACTGTTTCAACACATCAATAAGGTGATATCAAGACCTTTCCTCAGATAAAAGTAAGAGCAAAAGTTTTGCCCTTGACTATTTAACTTCATTCTTTAAGAAATTCTTTCGAACCGTAGATCCCAAGAAGATAACTCAAAGTGAGTAGGAACAACCCTCAGGGGATTTCTTCCTGGCAATAGAAGTGTATGTGTGTAAAACTCATAAGCACATGTACATTCCGAGGACTTTGCTTAACATATACTGTAGCCTGTAGTATTATTTTTAAGATAATTTTGATGGATCCTCAGCATTGATTCTTTGAGAAATTCAACCCACATTTATTGAATTCCTACTACTTGTTGGGCTGCATGGTAGTACTGAGACTTTTACTGTAAGAAAGGACCTTTTAGTCTGGTGTGGGAGCATCTGTGTTTCTCTACTAAGCACCCACAGTATGTTTGTTGGAGTGGAGAATTTTACAAGTTTAAATCCAAATACATTGAGATGCTAGGGTTTTTTGTTTTTGTTTTTGTTTTGTTTTGTTTTGTTTTGCTGGAACAGGCAGGAGACTTAAGATGGTATGCCATAAGAATTAGTCACTTCAGTCTTCTTCCTGTTATAGATATAGTTTGACTTGGCATTTTCCAACAGTAAGATTTTTCTGGTCTCATATTGTAGCCATTTTATTTTTGGTTCATAAAAATCTAGGGCCAGTGGGGGATGCTTATCCTAATTTACAGTGCTGGGGTGATCAGATGAACTATTAATTCATTGGGCAATAGCACTGTTCTTGAGTTTGAATATTTTAACTTATGTTGACCCCAAATCAAGGCAATTAAGTGGTTATTCAGCAAATCCTATTATTTAATAAAATGCAGAAAACTCTAAAAGATTCATAAGATCTTTGGTTACTGACTGGTTCCCATAGGATTATAAAAATAATGCTTGTAAGTGCTCAATGTGTTAACAACACAGAAATAAGGGAGTCAAATTCTGCCTTGAAGAATAGGAAAGTTTTTTGAGTTTCTACAATACAAGAATCTGTGGAGCCAAACTGCACCCATGTCACAGTACTACTAGGTCGTAGCAGGAGAAAACTGAATGGAAGAGCTGGGTTTCAGGAGGGGAGGAACTGCTGGTCCTCTTTATACCAATGTGGTCCCCTCCTTGCTCTCTCCCAGGCTTCCCGGAGGATGCTGGATGATGAAATGACAGTCAGCCTTTCCCTGCCAAGCGAGTCCAGCATGTTCAATAACAACCGCTCCTCATCACCAAGTGAACAGGAGTCCAATTCGACTTACGATCGCATCTTTCCCCTTCGCCCTGACTACCAGGAGCCATCCAGATTGATACGGAAACTCCCAGAATTTGCTCCAGGGGAAGAGGAATCAGGTGAGGATGCAACAGAGGGCAGAGGATTGAGCGAGAAGCCATGACACACAGTACATAGGCACAACGCTCTTGCGCCTACGAAACCAAATCTTTTTGGTCTATGCCAGCCTCCTTAGTAATGCACATACTCTTAAGACTTGAGATCTTCTCTCCTTTCTTATTGAAGATAAGGTATTTGGAGGGACCTACTTGTCAGAAGATGAAGAAAAAGATAAAAGGTTACTAGGGCATCAACACCAGAAGAACTCAAGCAGTCTTACTAGTCGAATCTGCTCATTTCACATAGAAAAATAATAAGAAGGCTCTGATGAATTACTCAGCCAACACCACACTTTCTTACGGTTGAATTCAAGACTGAAGTTTCATGAGGAAAAAAAAAAAGATAAAAGTAACTAAAGATATTTTGAAATTCTCAATTTTGTAGCCACCTGGATAATTAAGTAATCTATATGTATATATTTTTGGTCAATTTCTCTTCGGTAAACATTTGTTAGGGTGATACAAAATTGTATTATGAGAGTAAATATTTTTTTCCTTGTTTCAATAAAAGCATTTAGTAAAGTAAAACATTGCCAGATTATTCAAATTCAATTGTCTTTAAAAAAGTGCAGAGTGACATCAAAAGGGATGCTGGGATCACCTCTGAAGTTCAGAGCAGCTTTTCCAGAAGGCCATCAATGTAAGAATGACCCATATCAGTAGAAGGGGACTTGTGGTGTTCAGAGGAGAGGAACCCAGGCTGAGCCAGATACGGAGCAAGATTTTGGAAGATGACAGAAAACAGGATTCCCAGGGAGCCAGCTGGAAGGGATCTTCTGGAAGAAAGAAAGGAATTGACATCTATTCTATCTTAATAGGTAGAAAACATTGAAAGAGCACACTAAATTCATAGGATTTTGCAGAGTCAACAAGACTAATGAATATAACCTAACTTATTTTTCTAGATTGAAATGAAGTAATTTACCTGTTTTCTAAAGTTTAAAATATTCCCTACCTCATATTTTAAATTTTTAAAAATTTAGGATGTGTTTTAAACAACATCATATAGATTTAATTTGCTTTTAAATCAATGACAGTATTCTGAAAATAAGAAAATAAGATTTAACAAACCTTGCATCTTTAATACTCTCATCTTGACAGGGCATGAGGCTTCCTATAGCTTTGCCATGCAATTCCACAGGATGAGAAAAGGACATTGTAAGTGATAATGATTATGAGACAAGAATAAGGAACAAAATGGTAGCCTATATTCTGAAGTCCAAAGAGTCTCAGGAAGCAAAACTGTTCTTTAAGTAAGACCGTCATGAAGAAGGTTTGGTTGTAACAGAGGCTGGTTCTAGTTGTCCTCTCAGATATTTTTTCTTAAAAAGATCTCTAAAAATGTCCCTTGAATTGAGACCTATGGCCCTTACCTTCCAGGCTGCAGTGGCATTGTGAAGCCAGTCCAGCCCAGTGGACCCGAGGGGGTGCCCCACTATGCTGAGGCCGACATCGTGAACCTCCAGGGAGTGACTGGAGGCAACACCTACTCAGTGCCTGCTGTCACCATGGACCTGCTCTCAGGAAAGGATGTGGCTGTGGAAGAGTTCCCCAGAAAACTTTTAACATTCAAGGAGAAGTTAGGAGAAGGCCAGTTTGGGGAGGTGAGCTGATTTTCTGTATGGCCTCCAGTCTTAGGCAGCTTGAAGGAAGTGGATAGATATAAATGGTCAGTACAGCAAATTGCCCCTTCCACAAGTTGACTCACAATCAAATGTCTCCTATACTCATCTTTCTTTGCATTGTTCTCTGGATGAGAAGCATTAGGTCAACTTCATCTCTGTTAAATATCTGTGGAAAGCCTGAGACTTCTATACAGGAGCTTTTAAGGCAGGCAAAACACTAGACATCAGAAAGCCTGAAACATTCAATACTTTCAAAAAATTCCTGCAGTATGTTACAGGGGGTGGGGCTCACAAGATGTGGTCATCTTTTATGAATTATCCAGGGACACCCTGCTGCTTGATAGTCACTTTGTTTTCTCCTTTTTAGTGAGAGTTATATGAAAAATAGTCAAACAACCTCACCCATGCTGCTGATCCCATAATTAGCCACTAGGGAATGAATCACCAACTAAATTAAGGAGGAGTCCTCTCTTAATTGACCTCAGAGTGATGCATGCAATATTAAACTTTCAGCCACATGGACTTTGGAGAGCTCAAAGCAGTGTTTTCAGTTGTAAAAGTAACTTTTCATTACCATCTAAACCCCACTTGCTCTCACATAAATATATTATAGGTGTTCAGTATGGGTCAAATATTCTCCCCCTGGATAGACTTGGTGCTGCAGCAGGTACAGGGGCCCATGGCATCTGTCTGTAGTATTATTTATGCTCATTCTGACCGGATTGAAAATTCACTCTCATTATACTGTTACTAATACACAGGAACATTTGCAATGTTAAACCCCACTCTAAGGGGTTATTTTAGGAAATTGCTTTATGTTTTATATTATCAGGTAACTATACTTTCTCAAATCAAGAGTTTAAATCTTTATAGTGAATGATACTTTATTGTGGGGCTATGCTATACTGAAACACTATTACTATTTCTTATAAGGAAGTAATGTATCATATTAGCTGAGTACTTAACTATTGTTTTAAACTATATCAATAATCAAAGATATGTTGATCATATCTTATTGTTTTTTGATTATTTTGCCTGAGTTGTAAGAGTTAGTTTATCTCCAGGAAGTGCCCAGCAAGAGTACTGAGACATCTTCAGGAGAAATGATGATGCTGAGACTAGATGACTTTTGTCTAGGTTCATCTCTGTGAAGTGGAGGGAATGGAAAAATTCAAAGACAAAGATTTTGCCCTAGATGTCAGTGCCAGCCAGCCTGTCCTGGTGGCCGTGAAAATGCTCCGAGCAGATGCCAACAAGAATGCCAGGTCTGTGGTCTACCTTTTGAATTGTCCTTTAATTATTTTATCTTTAGGATCAGGAATATTCCTGGAAATGTCTAAGCACATTTTTCTTTTGAGGTTGGATGGTCTGTGACCTGCCTTGTAGTACTATTGTTGTGCTTTATTTTTCTAATGAACTCAGAAGTTCTCATCTTTTTCTCCACCTCTTTCAAATGTACATTCTCTATTATATTAGCCATATATTTATTTCCTAACTCCCTTTGCATAGCCCTATACTTTTCAGTACACACAACAGTCCAGATGTGTACTTCCTCAGTCATTACATACAGATGTACTCTGAGTGTTGTAAACTCTTCTTGGCAGACTCTTCACAGTCACATCTGTCTTGCTGAGCCTTTCCATTCTTTTTCTCACAGCTCTATTTACTTTCTCATCCTCTTTTCTCTTTTGTGCTCCTTTTCTTCTATGTTCTGCAACCCCCAAAGTGAGAAGCTACCTCTACTTGGAAAAGTATCCATGGACCCCAAAGCAAAAAAGATCCACAGTCTCTAGCAGTTTCTCAAATTGGCTATTAATTCTTGGATCCTTACTACATAAATTGCAGTGTCCAGCCACACTCCGTTGTCTGACAGCCTTTCCATTACAGTAATGGTGAGTTAATCCTCACCCAGAGAGGCATGCTGGTTGAAAACTGGTTGTCTGTGTTCCAGAGAAATCTGCACATCTGGATAACATCTGCATTTTCACATCTGCATTGTCTTGTGTCACTGACATTCATAGTGAGAGTAAGTTTATTACTCCTGTTCCCCAAAGTTTGTTCATTTCCAAAAATGGTGATAGATTAATCATTAAAAGTCTTCAAAATGACAGGAAGTAGAGTGGAGAGAAAGATGAAGGAATAGAATGATGGAGATTTTCAAATTATAACCCAGAATTTTAGTCTTAAGAATATTAGCATGAGTGAAAGTGAAATTTTCTGGTTCCTATAGAAAGGTGGAACATTCCTTATATTGATCATTGCACATGATTAGAAAAAGTGGCAAAGAGAAAAAGCCACAGGATACGATAAAGCCTTTGTTATTTTGGTTGGTGAGGTTTGCTGTACTCCAATTGTGCCTACCCTTGTTTAGCAGCCACAAATGGCTCAGACCGTGAGGCCTCCCAAACTACAGAAGCCCCTGATTCAGGGCTAAAGGAAACATGAAAGAGAGGTGATATTAAATCAGAACTAAATTGATTTTAAGGATTTATATTGATATAATAGGATATTCAGTGCAGTATTCCTATAAAACTCATGGGGCACTTGTAACTTGTAACTCAACTCAGTTCCAATAGTTTTGGGAATATGGGCTAGTGGCCTCACTTGATACAAAAGTTGCTCTAAGGTGGTTGTCACTGTGTACTCTAATAATTACTAGTCTTGGCCAAGTGAGTACTTCTTTAAAAATGACCCCATCTTGCCACCATGACCCTTAAACAGCTCTGTTTGAACAGGATACTAAATGCATGTTGTGACTGCCAATTCAGTCTGCATAAAGGAAAGCCAACAGAAGAAAGTAAAGAATCATCAGGTAGATCAGAAGGTGGTTATCCACTTTACAAAAACAATTTTTGTTTTATCAATAGAATGATTTTGTAGTTTTTTAAAAGGTAAACTTTCTTGTGCACTCAAGATATGACTTTTAGTGAAAAGTTTCATTTTGCAGTTGTTTCTTAAAAATACTTGATTCAGCAAATATTAAAAATTAATGATTTAATATTTCCATGTGGCAGGCATTTTGCTAAATATTAGGCATACAAACGTTGATAAGTCATTGGCCTCATTCTCAAAAACATTGCAGTTGAATAAAGATCCATCGTCTTCCAGGAGCAGTAGAATGAGATAATTCTGGGTGCCAATTCTCTGTTCTCTCAAAGGTCTTCTTTGAGCAGAATGGGAAGGAAGAGATGTTACAGTTAATTCATTCCCCTTTTGATTCTCACTCTGGGAACCTCTGCGTTTTATCTCTGTCTGTGTCCTCTGAAGGAATGACTTCCTTAAGGAGATAAAGATCATGTCCCGGCTGAAGGACCCAAATATCATCCGTCTCTTAGCTGTGTGTATCACTGAGGACCCTCTCTGTATGATCACGGAATACATGGAGAATGGAGATCTCAATCAGTTTCTTTCCCGCCACGAACCCCCCAATTCCTGTTCCAGCAATGTTCCTACTGTCAGGTAAAATCAGCCAGATCTTCTGTCTTTTCTCTTTGGCCATGAGAGTAACCAGGTTGTAAAGATGAGGAACAATCACCCCTAAAGTTCATTATTACCCTAGGATTAGGGAATGCAAAGGGATTCATGGAGTACAGAAAGGACTGGGCACGGTGGTGCACACTTGTAATCTCACCACTCTGGAAGGCTAAGGCAGGAGGTTCAAGCCCAATTTGGGTAACTTAGTGATTTAGGGAGATTTTGTCTTAAAAGAAAAATACAAAATTAAAAAGGGTCTCTGGGAATGTATCTCAGCCTGCCTTGGGTTCAATCCTCAGTCACACACACACACACACACACACACACACCGGAGGGGATGTTGAGGTTTAAACCTTGGTTGGTTGATATCAATGTGAATGTGTGCTTTTCTGGCTTTCAGTTTCAATATGCTACTTTTTCCTTTCTTGTATATTTTCTCAGTTATGTCAACCTGAAGTTTATGGCTACCCAAATTGCCTCCGGCATGAAATACCTTTCCTCTCTTAATTTTGTCCACCGAGATCTGGCCACACGGAACTGCCTAGTTGGTAGGAACTACACCATCAAGATAGCTGACTTTGGAATGAGCAGAAACCTATACAGTGGTGACTACTACCGGATCCAGGGCCGGGCAGTGCTCCCCATCCGCTGGATGTCCTGGGAAAGCATCTTGTTGGTGAGTGAGTTCTCCACATTTGTGAAGCCAGGCCGGGTAGTTGAGGCTTAGGCTGCTCTCAAAGCAGGGTGGGGCCAGACGGGAGACAGCAGGAGGCAGCTTTATACACTGTTATTTTTCTCTCACTTGAGAATTTTTTCTTGGTGTACTAATTGTTACTTAACATTCATCTTCACCTGTTGATAAAAAAGCAATACTCCTTTGCAGAAAATTAAGAAGAAAAAATTAACTATAAGGGTTTTAATTTTTTTTCTCCATTTCCTCCATTGATTGGTCTGAATTAATTTAGAATACTTAAAACTTTAACATTTAAATAAATGTTATCCATACAAATTTTCCAACAGTGTTTTTCCTAATTTAATTTCACAATTATCTTCTCATTAATTATTGGACCTAACCTCATATTTTTTTAAAATTTTTTTCGTTTGCTTTTTGTTTTTTTGAGACAGGGGCTCACTATGCAGTTGAGACTGGCTTGGAACTCACTATGTAGCCCAGGCTTGTCTGGAACTCACAGTGCTCCTCCTGCTTCAGCCTCCCGAGTGCTGGGATTACAGGCGTGCACCAACATGCCCAGCTATAATATTTTTGTTTTAAGTATTATTACCATTTACTTTTTTTCTTTTTGGTAGCAAGAATCAAATTCAGGACCTTGTGCTTGCTTGTCAGGCAGGCATGGTGCCACTGAGCTAAATCCTCAGCCCACCATTTACTTTTAAGATCACACACAGTTCCTTGATTTGTATGTTTTATTCAATTCTTGGTATTCTGCATCATCATGGGATTTTCCAAATGACTCTCTTGGAGATATATTCCTGGCCATGCATATCTGAGTCTTTTCATTGTTGGTTTCCCAACCACCTAGCGAATTTAAACAATTAGTACACTTAAACTTTTACTTCCAACAATGCTGTATGCATAGAACTTTCTCTTTGGTTTTATGTAACATTTCAAAGAGAAGCCTCAGGTTGATTTGCTTTTGTTCCTTTATAATCTATTTATTTTGATCTTGTTCTTATAATTTTGAAATATAAAGGATAGTTTTCTCTTTCCTCTCATTGAGATACACTATTAATATTTTGTTGATTTACTTTGAGAATTTTTTCCTATGCATGTATTTCTATGTGTGTATGCTCTGTAAAATTTATATTACATAATAGATGATACTATGCCATATAATCTCTACTGTTTACTTAATATTTTATTATTAGCATTTCCAATGAATTCTTTAAAAATATATCATTTTTTTTCTTTGTATTGAGTTTATTGGTACAATCTAGGTATACAATACAGTTCATCATTGGGATTCTGTACATAATAGGTCTTGATTCTCATTTTTTCCCCTTGTCCCTGCCCTCCCTTCACCCCCTCCTCCCCTCCCCCTTTACACACACTTTATTTCCATTTTTTCAGTTTCTCATATTTTTTTGCTCTCCCTTATTACCTCTCCCCCACCCTTCCCACTTTCCCTACACCTTTAGCCCTTTACTTCCTATTTCACATTATTAATTATCTCATTAGGATCCCGTGTACTATTATAGTTTTTCATGCCAAACAAACTATTCGGTATTTCAGTTAAAGAAATCTCTGTATGAACATTAAAAATAGGAAATCCTAAAATAAAACTAAAAAGGAAAGTAAAAGAGAAAAGGCAATGATGTAACATTAAAATAATCCTTAATTCTGGAGATGAAAATGGTCCCTGAACATATTTAAATTGCTTCTTGCTCTTATACTATTATCTTACTCTTTTTTCATTATTTAGAGAATACTTCATTAGTTTCCCTAATCAAACCCATGTAGATATGACTTTACATATTTAGTACGATGTGTTACCCCTGTATACATGGAAAAAAATAAAAAATTAAAATAAAAATAAATGAACATTTCTAGACCAATATGGCTGTCCATTTCTGTATAATGCCAACTCAACACTGTAAATTGGGATGACTTTTTCCAAAATTGGCAGCACTGTTGAAGTTTCCCAAAATTCAATTTATATAGATATATATTTATATTTATATAAAAAGACTAATAATAGCAGTATGTTATTCATTGATAGCAGCAACAGCTTTTCCAGGTTCTGCAGTCATCTGAACAAAATTATAGACATTCAGCATATTCCAT